CCATGAGCTCTTTTCCAAAACTTGGAACACACATGTGCCCCGCGACCTGCCTTCCCCGACCCTTTCCCGAAGACATGCGGTTTGCGAGCGAGCCCGTGAATGGGGTAGGTCCCATACTTGAAGCTCCGCTGTCTCGTGGGCACAGGTCTCGGGGGCACACATCTCTTCGGGCGACTGCAGGTCTCAGGCAACATGCCTACTCCCCTTGCTGGACTCTTGAAATCTAAGTGGATGCCTGAAGTTTGGCTTGAAGGCCAAGGTTGGACCTTATGATCCCCTGTGCTAGCGCATGCAACTTGGACACTGTGTCTTTCCAACAAAACTCGGACTTGCCATGCTGTGCGGCCGGATTCAGCACGAAATTCCAGGACTGTCCTTCCAGTAAGCCTGTCAGCTCACCAAAAGCGTTTACATCACACTATATCACATCACATCACATCACATCACATCACCTCACATAGCATCACATAGCAGGGCATAGCAAGGCACAGCAAAGCATGACATTGGCATAGCATATCACAGCATTACAGACCAGAACAGGCACTACATAACATAACAAAGCATAACATAACAAAACATAACACTGCATAAACATGAGTGACTCCAGCAGCAATCTGAAAAATCTCAACTTAACCCTTCTGAAACCTTTTTTTCCCCTGAACCAAAAACACGAAATCCCGAAAAAACCGAGTCCAAACCACCCACGTTCGTGAAACCGCTTGGTAAACCCTACACCCCTAAACCTCTAAACCCCTAAACCCCTGAATCTTGAAACCCTAAAGCCCTAAACCCCTAAACCCCTAAACCCTAAAACCCGTAAAGACCTAAGCCCTAAACCCTAAACCCCTACACGTACCACTGAACCCTTAAACCCTAAACCACTAAGCCCCTAAACCCCTACACCCCTACACCCTAAACCCCTAAACCCTAAAACCCGAAACCCCTACACCCCTTCACCCCTAAGCCCCTAAACCCCTGAACCCTAAAACCCTAAACCCGAAACCCCTAAACCCCTAAACTCCAAAACCCCTCAACCCTAAACCCCTAAACCCCTACATGTACCCCTGAACCCTTAAACCCTAAACCCTTAAGCCCTTAAGCCTTAAACCCCTAAACCCTGAACCCCTAAACCCTGAAACCCCAAGCCCTACACCCCTAAACCTCTCAACCCCTAAACCTCTGAACCCTTAAACCCTAAAACCCTAAAACCCTAAACTCCTAAACCCTTAAACCCTAAAACCCCAAAAGACCTAAACCCTAAACCCTAAAACCCCTAACCCTTGAACCCCTAAACCCTAAATAAAGCCTAATCTTCCTGGCCTCAACATCCATGATCAGGAGCTCCATCGAGACTCCAGTAAAAAAAGAACTGCAAACACAACAACACACCCTACCACACACACACACACAGAGACAAGGCAGCACTGCTAGAGACTGCACACCACTCTGAGGCCGAGACCAATCTTCAGGAGTTCCAAGAATCCTGCAAATCAAGCATGGATGATGCAGCCGTGCAAACAACAACACCACATGCACAGCAAAACTGCACGAACACCAACATTTTTTTTCTGCACGATCGCTCTGATCATCATCGCCCTGGGAGATGCATGCCGCACAAGGGATCGGGTGAAACACATCACTCCTCCTCCTCCTCCTCCCTCTTCCTCTTCTTATCCCCGCCCTTTCCATCACCATTACCATCCTCCTCCATATCATCCTGTTTCCTCTTTTGGGAGATCCTCCTCCTTCTCCTTATCACGGATCTCCGGCTCGACCTCTGTGATAATCGGGCCTTGCGAGGGGGCAGGGCCTCCCGGGCCCGAGCGGCCCACCTGCATCTGCTGCATCAAGCTCGCCAGCAAGGGTATCAAGCCAGCAATGGCATCTGCAAGGGCAAAAAATAGAAACTGGAGTTCCAAAAAAGCTCCAATGAAAAATGTATAACCAAATGAAAAACTGAAAATGAACTTATGATGCCCCTGCCTGAGGATCCGGAGGCACCTGAGCTGCTCCCAAAGATATTGATGTTGATTGCCGGAGGTGGCTGGTAGCTGGGGATCACAGCCCTCTTCACATTCTCGGCCTTGATGGCCCAGGCCTTCTTGGCCTCCATCATTCGTTCGCACCCTTGAGGGTCTTTCAACCCGCTCTTTCCCTTCTTGCCCCGGGCTGAGTAATCCCAGCTCGGCTTGCGCACATAGTGCAGCTCGCCTGGGCCGAGCAGCATAAACCCTGAACACAGGAGTCCAAAACGACTCCCGAAGAAATACCAAAAAAAACTTCAAAACATTCTTAAAATCCAAGTTGCAGCCGGGATTGGAGCAGATGACCAAGCCCCTGCCGAAGCCCCTGCTGCGATAGTTCCAGCCGAGGCTCCAGCTACAGCTGAGGATCCCTGTGCAGAGCATTTGGAGGTTCTCCCTGCACATTGCCCACATTGCAGACTTCGGAAGGAGTATCGCACTGCGACCAATTGCTTGGCCTTTGGCATGGCTTGGCGAAATGAGTCAAGAGTGCAAGAGGCAGCTGTGGCAGCTAAAAGGCGACTCCCTCGCGAGGGAGCAGATGCATGGAATAGGAGAAGAAACCCTACGAAAACGTTGAGCTGGACAGCCTTTGGCCCAGGTGAAGCCGGCCGTGTAAGTGGGTAGGGCAAGTTGCATTGCAACGAATCGACAAAACGACGATGATGAACGATACTCTCTCGCTTGGAGGAAAATATTTTGTGAGCGCATGCATTTTCGGCACTTCTGCATGCTTTAAAGCAGAGTTGCCATGCAGCACGCAGCTTCAGGACTCTGTGCATGTCCTTGTGTATAGCTGGCTCAAACCATGCATGTCCATGTGTGTAAGAAAGGTCTGGGGTGCAGGGCCTGAGCTGTTGAAGCTTTTTTATATTTTCTATGTATATAGTCGGGGCTTTAGAATTATATAGGTATGTATATGTATGTATGTATATATATATATAGACTAGAGTGACTAGAGGCCTATAAGCTCTGAGGGCCTAGGAGTAGATTCCTGTCGCCTTTCTGGCACTCAGCTCGGTTGTGAGTGTGCTTGCTTCGAGAGTTTCAAGCAGTGCTTTTTTTTCGGGAGTCTCTGCCCTCCCCACGTGGTGTGTAGGTTTGAAGCCCCTTGTCCCCTGTGCCTGCCCAAGTCGAGACGATGCTGCTGATGGTGCTCTGCTGCGAGGACAAGGACTGATGCGCTGCAAAGGTTCTTCATGTTCGCTTTTGTCTGGAGAGCAAAGGCACCAGATTGGAAGTTCTTGCCTCCATGCTGAGAATTTTGAGCTCGAGCTCGCAAGCTTTCTGTGTGTAGCTGTATCTGTGCCTCGGCCCACCTCTATGGCTTGATGCAGGTTCTGCCGGCTGCGTCTTCACTACAACAGCTGGATCCTCAGAGGACACAGAGACATGAACGACGTCCTTGATGAAGAAGCACATGTCCTGAACACTGTCGGGCAGCCTTCCTCCTGTAGACATGTTGCGAGTCTTCGTGAAGAGAGTCTTGTACACTTCGTGAAGATGATTCGCAAACGTCTTCAGCTTCGAGGCTGGAGCCCCTGGCCACACAAGGCCCAGTGCTTCATGCATGGAAGCTGCAGTCGGCCGGCTAGTGATGCCCAAAACCTTCTTCATGAGCACACTATGCTTCTGCAAAAACCATCCAAAGACAAGAGGGCATCTCCAGCTTCCACTGCTGAGAGATTTCCTCTGAAAGTCTTCACCAGGTCTTTCCCTGTGGCAGCATTGGGCCTGCGACTCATTCTGCTATCTATATACAAAAAACCGACTTCAAACACTTGAGCACAAAACTCCAGCCAACAAGATGCAAAACAGATCCGGCATTCATGCCACTTCATGCAGCTGCGGTTGCAGCCAAATGCACATCAGCCATGCAACAGCATATATGCACGCCTGCAGCATGCATGATCGAATGTAGCCATGCTCCAGATCATGCGTGTCTCCATGCAGGAGATGCATGCCCTCCTGGTTAAATGGCTTAAAGCAGAATATATACATAGAGAGAGAGAGAGAGAGAGAGAGAGAGAGAGACTTATATACGATCAAAACGGAACACTGCCAGCTTTAGTTGGAGCTGATTATATCAGCCTTAAATAAAGGCTTAACTCTTATCCTATAACTGTTAAAGAGACGTCACCTTATTTAAAGCTTATTGGAGCTTCAGGGATGGACCTGGCTGCTCCTGCTTACCACACAAAGACGTCCCCGTAGCACTCCTGTCTTCGTGCTGGTTGTGGTTGTCGTGCTGGAGCGGGTCGCCGGTCGGATGTTCTGTCTTGTGTGGCTCTCGTGTGTCACATCTGGGGGCCGGGGTGGTGGTGTTGGGGCCGCCTGTGCTTGCTCACTGGGTGCGATGCTTCCGCCTTGCCCCGTTCCTTGGGGTCAGGTGGTGGGGTCCACGGGTTGGCCTCGCTTTCGACCTTCCATCCGCTACGGATGTCCTGGTCTTGTCGGCGACGTCGTAGTAGATGATGTTGTGGGGGATGCCAATGTCCCCGATGAGCACGATGGCTTCGCGAGGCAACTCCCTGCTCGGAGGGCAGGCGAAACTCGAGCCAAGCCCCGGTCACCAGCGGTGCGGGGGGGAGAAGGGGCACGCAGTGTCCCCGTTTGGTGCACTAACTCAGACAGTTTTTCTTCGAGGGAGTGTGCTCTAGATAAGAGTTGTTTATTTATAGGCGTGACCGGGTCATTTGGACCTCAAGCTTGTCCCGCTTCACTATGAGCGCCTGGATGCAGCTGTAAGCATGTTGCACCTGGTTGTTGAGTTGGAGCCTGACGTCCTCGATTCGTTGGGTGGCTCGGGCGACACTTCATTGATCACCCTAGAGTTGTCTCGTGGAGTTGGCCCTGGGCCCTAGCAATTGAAGTTCCCCTTGGAGCGCCTGGATGATGGCTGCGGCGTTCAGCTCGTCTTCTGTGCTGGGCATTCCAGGAGAGTCCCCGTTTGTGCATTCACGGTCGGGTTGCCACTGTCACGATCATGTACACGTGGTGGGTCCCCTCCCAGCGTAGCTCTTGCGGCGAAGGAGCTGCGGCAGGTAGGCCCCGCAAAGTTCCGCCGATCCCTTCCCCGTCGATGTTCGCAAAGTCCCGAAGCAAGAGCGCACAGTCACCCTCCTGAAACAAACATCCCGAGGTCGCGGGTCAGAACCTGGAAGGAGAGGTCGCATAGATCTGCGATCGTTACCTTCAAGACGATTGCTGGGGGCGGCGACTCTCTCTCTCGGGCAGACGGCCGGGTTGAGCTCCTTTACTCAAAGCGGCTCGGAGCTTGAGCACTTAAACCAAAATGGCGACCATGGTCCATTCTTTCTATCTTTCTGCCGGGCTTAGGGGCCGCTGCTGCGACCCTCAGGCCTTCGGCCCGCCCCCTCACCCACTGTTTTATTGAGTGAGAGGCTTTGGGGTTGGCAAAGACCGCTGCACAAGAGTACGAAGTCTGCGACAGAACGCAAACAGCAAGCCCCCGACCCTGTACGCTAAGCACCCCCAACCCGCATCGCGGCCTCATCTCCGCGCCCCCTATGGGCAACCAATGGGGCTTGCTTGGGTGTCTAGTCGGCAGAGCCCCCATGCGGAGGAGCACTAGCGGAACAACAGCGCACGTCTTGAACCTACGACGAAACAGCTAGTTCACACCTGGCTTTGTCCCTTCTGCGGCTCCAGACTTGGCACTCGCTACAAGACGGTACTTCTTGGGGACATTTTGCAGAAAACAACCATGCCTGGTCCATTCTTTGCTTTGCTTTGCTTTGGGGTTAATTCCCTGGTCCATTCTCTCTCTCTCTCTCTCTCACACTCTGGTCACACATTAGAGGTCGGCACATGACAGGCAGCCAATATTCGATGATTGAGATTGATAGGTCGCTGCCTCGACGCCCAATATTTCCATAGATGTGCTCTCGAAAACTAAAGCTGTATGCGTTCAGTGTGGACTCAAGTCGGCTGTGTCCAACCATAACATGTTCTCCGAAACTAGATTTGTTATCTCGGACCCTCTCTACCAGTACAAGCTGGTTCGGTAGGAGTTTATGCAATAAGCAATCATGCGTACAAAGCTTCAGCTGCCAACTCAGTGGCACCTTGCTGTGGGTCGTGAACCTCGCCCTGCAGGTAGGGCCCAGCAAAATATGCAGAGAGTGCCGGTCCTGCTGCAGAGTCAAGTCACTTCATGGTGCCGCACATGTACGAAAAGAGAATTCCGGTGACCTGCAGGTGATGGCTGGAGAACCGTCAAGCCACGCCCGCGGCTTGCTCTGCCTGCGGAGAAATGGGAGTTGCCATCGAAGCTACGAGAAATATTCTTGCCTCGCTTCGATGGTTCAGTAGGTGAATGGAACTGAACAAACTCAGTTTCGGGTAGAGCAGCACTCCGACAAGGTCAAAGGTAAACCGTTAGTTGTTCTGGTTACGACGGTCAAATCTAAACTTTAAACACGGGGAGGGGTGACGGGTGTAAAGACAGCCGCCTTGAACCACGAAGATTTACGACGAAGGCGATACCATACGTTTCTCACCGCTAGGACCCCCAACCCGCCCGTCTCTTCAGGACAGCAAGAGCCATAGGGGAACTATGGGGAACTCCCCTGCCGGGGGGCAAGCGCGCACCGGAATCCCAAGCCTGGTCGGCCCCAGCTCGAGGTTACGTCGGGACTGGTAACACGAAAACTGCGAAGCTAAGTACCCCCAACGCACCTCCAAACCCGTGCGGTCCCTCACTCTCGCTCTCGCGCCGAACTTGTGCCACGTCCGCCTGCACTGCCGTCGCTGCGACTGTTGGAAGCTCCATTGGCCGCACCCATAGCAATCCGTCATGACAAGAATGCATCAAGAGGCCCCCTACCCCTGTACGTCTGCACCATTTAGGTTTCGGTTTTGGCTTCCAAAAGGAAACTACACGAGTAGGGTCTTTTGAAACTACAGTCGAAGTGCCAGCAACTGCGACACCCTTTTGCAAAGGATGCCCACTTCGAGCAAATCCGGGAGCTTGTGGTCTGCGTGTTCCGGCTCTCTGTGGCAAGCTGACTTGTTCGTTCAGCGGACCGGAGCTCACATATTCCCTTCAGCTGTGCTGTCCCTTTTCTGCAGACAAAGCGACATGATGTGGCATGCATGCGGGCTTCTCAATCGGCCTTTGACCAGTACACTGCATCCCCTATCATTTTGGCTCCCGGTTTGAGAAACTCCACTTCCTGCACACTCGCTGTGCAATACAGTCTTGGACTGAAAGACGCGAGGTGCCACGCGTATCAGTTGTGCACCTACCCGCTTGCATGGAACTCAACACTTTACTGACCTACTATACTTCGACTTCGGCAGTTAAGCCCTCTGGGCCGACTGTTGCTATACCTGGATTCTAGGTAGTGTGCTGGACTTAGCTGCGACGTTGGGCTCTCACTCATTTGTTGCAGTGAGCTCCACGGGTGCACTGCAACGTCAACGCGGTGCTGCAAGCTCTTCAAGCTCTGCAGTGCCATTTGGCAGTGCTCAGAGCCACCAGTCCAGACCGTTTGCTGTGGACCAGACCACATTCATTACCAAATAGCATCCGTGTGTCTTCAAACGGCGTGATCGTGGCAACGTCATCTTCCGATGCTGTCCTGCATCTTTCACCGGGCCACAGATGACCGCAACGGGGCTGGCCAGCTTCAGACCCACTTACATGGACATGCACGCACTGCATGCATGTCGTCCCTCCTGGCCTTCATCACTAACCTTGCGAGCCGGGCATATCACCTGCAGAGCTGCTTGAGGCACAAAGACGAACAACAAAGCCAAAGCCGAGCCAAGTACCAGTGGCGTCTGCGGCCTGTGCTGCAGCCTGCGACAACAGGAATCAAAGAAGTCGAGTCGGAGACAACAACATGTCTGAAGCTTTCGGCCCGAACCAGAAAGGGCCCCAAGGACGACTCCAGTTCAAGCTGCTTAAGGCCTTGTTGCCACGGCATCTCAAGCTGCTGCTTGCATGCTTGTGAACACCTTTTCACTATTCGGAATCATTCTTTGGGGTTTAGGTTCTAGGGCCTTCTAGGGATAAACATGCAAGGCCCGTGGCCGGAGGGATCCCTGTGCCAAAGCAACCCTCAAAGGCGGCCGAACCGTTCAAGCTCCATGTGGGCCCACTCTGGTTCTGCGCCTGGACGAGCCCGCGCTCGCCAGAACCAGCTGGACCGCCGGGCCCGGCATCACCACCCCAGACCTCGCAAGTCTCTGACACAGGCGGGATGAAGGTGAAGTGATATTTTCAGAAGGCAGGAAGAGATGAAACCTGATGCAAGAAACCGAACATACACTTGACCGTAACATCTGCGAATACTCAGTGCACAGCAGCCAAATGGCAGAAATCGCAGGATTAAGGGAACTGGGAACGGAGTGCTCCACACTGCAAGGAGGGGAGGGAACCGCCCTACCCTTTGCCCAGATGCAGCTTGCAGCGCTGGACCCATCAATAACGTGGTGGACTGAAGTGCACAGGGGCCTTACCATGCCTTTTCTGTGTCTGTCTACTTTGTTGCCTCAGCACCTACAAGCCCTAATAAGCATATTCATCGGGAAATGGTGATACGCAGCAAGAGGACCATGCGACCTCGAATTACTCCTTTCTCATGTGACGGCAACGCTTCCAGCAGGCAAAAGAAAGGAGACCCAAATCATCCTGCCATTTCGATCGGACCAATGTTGGGGGGGAGCACGGGCAATTCAGCTGTGTGTTTCCGGCTTCGCTCATGCTTCCCGGGTCTTCGTTTGTCACTGCTTTCGCATTGCCTGCGTTTTGCACTCTCTCGTTCCGGCCCCGACCTGTGTCCGGAGCACGACGCTACGCTTACGCTTCCAACTTCCCCCCATGTGACATCACGGGGGACTTGTAAACGATCGCCCAGGCACGCGTCCAGTAGACTGCCGGGATCCGGGAGTGCCAAGATGCTCTCCCCCAAGTACCGGCAAGAGTCAGAGCTTCCAAGTCCAAAATGTGGAGCATGAGAGGTTGGAATATACAATACATCTGGCTTTCGTGTGCCATATAGCAAGACGTGAGCACAAACTAGACAACGTGCCACATCAGCAGTTGTGTCCCGGGTAACTGTTTAAGTGGTGCTCCCACGCGGCTACCCTGGCCAACTCTCTTTGTACCTCATTCTGGGGGTATGAAGAGCAGAGCCAGTGAAGCATCTGGGATAACTGGAGAAGTGATTGATGCCTCACGCCTCCGAGCCCGGTACTGCTCGCGGACCAGGCGGTGGGATCTGATTTTTCACCTCGGGGGTTCGAGAGTGCATGTGCCGCATGTGCATCCCTCGAGCTTTGGTAGCTTGGAACATGTTCATGCTCTTGCTTTCCGCCTTTCCGCTTCTTGCACCAGTCATCTTGCGCTGCTTTCGCATCAACCCTGGGCAGGCCTTGGCATTTTTTGCCGATGCAGCCAAAGAAGTTCGCTTAGCGGCCTCTGTCGCGAGGCAATAACCGAAACTGTGTGAGACTCCCAGTGTCTGACCCTATTTGACCATCCTGCCGGATGAGAGAAGGCATCGTGCAAAACAGCGACGTGTAACGCAAGAAGTCCGAACCATCTTAGCCCTAAACCCTAAACCCCAAACTCGCCTTGTTCTGAAGCGGCCTGGCCGTTCTTTGCGGTGAAGTCTGCGGAGAAGCTCCTGCAAAAGAGTGACCCGTACTGCGTCAAGAGTGGCAACTACTGAAAGGCTCAAGCGTCCTGATACGTCACCATAGGAATGCCAGCTTGCTTGCGACCTTGTGCAGAAGTTGTGCATTGATACTTCGACGACAATAGGACTCACACAAACGTGGGACACCGAACAGGCTCGCACGACCAACATGCACAGATAACACAGATGTGCTGTATATGATAGAGAATGAACTAGGGCTGCGGGCCCGGAGTCTACTTGCTTCATTCAACCTAACACTCGCAGTGAAGCCATACATTCTAAACTCCTCCAACTAAGCATCTGAGTAGTGCGTCGAGCTGGCCGCAAAGCATGTGCTAACACCATGAACAATGGAATGTGCCTAGTAATCCTTCAACACCCTGGCAGCAGAATGAGGCAATAGTCACTCATCATGCGTCAAAGTGCTGCAGTGGCCTCTCTTTTCTGGGTTGAGAGCTTTACAAAAGCGCGGCCGAATACGTCTGAGGCTGCGAGCTGCGAGAAAGTACACTGTAACATAAAGATTGTGTATTCGTTAGGCCTGGAGCATGGCGCACTCGGAGAGTAGCTTTCACTCCCAATTCACCGTCACACAGTCGCTCACTCCTATGTTGGGCACCGAGTGGCAGCATGCTGAAAGGCAACTGGGGCCCACGCAAGCAAGACAGCAAGTTCAGACACAAGTGACCAAGACTAGCATGGACTAGCTACCAGAGGCTCTCGAGAAAATTTCCCACGCTCGACGATGCCGCCGTTCAGTCTCATCGCTGCCCTCGCCCGGTACAGATGTAGCTACAAGTAAAATGACAGCTGGTCGCCATGCAGACAACGATGCATTGCAGACGTTTAAGGCGTTTAAGGTCCCATACCTCATCGGTTCAAGATCTGTCCTACGGTTCCCTACGGGACAAAAACCTCACCACCGAAACAAACCAAAACAAAATGAGTTTTGGAATTCCCTGTGACAGCAAACCTGCTCAGTGGAGACTCTTGTTTCCTCTGCATCGCATTCCCCGGAGCTAGTGACTTTGCTGACAGACTGAGCACAGGTCGTGCCAAATACCGCAGCGTTGTCTGCATCGTCGAGCGGTCTAGCCACCAATGTGCAGAGGATGTGAGAGGCTACTGACACTCCAATGAGATTTTGGCAGGACTTCACCTTGGCTCCGACGTTCGCCTCTCCATCGCTTCGTCATTGGAGTCTTCCGGCCTTTGGCAAGCTGCGAAGTCTCGACTCCGTCACGACAATAGCCAACGAGGAACGCAATGCTGCCTCCTTGGCTCCATTTCATCTTGAACACCTCCCACCACGGCAAGGTCCAGCTGCCTCATCAGGGAGAATGGCAGAAGATGCAGGGGTCCAAACTGCTGCCCAGCCTCGAAGCGGATGGAGACCCAGGCGATCCGGATCCATCTTGCAAGGCCAAGTCAGGGGAGGTGGCGGCAGTCAGCGTGGGTTGCCTGGCACACTTGCACTGTCCTCCGAAGTTGCCAAAACAACTGTTGGTCCGGCATCAATCTGGGCAGCGAGACGACTGAAATGGCAACCGGGTCCGCTCCTTCTCAAAGTCATCATATGCGCTTCCATATCCTGGCACGACGCGAGCACGATCATGCATCACTCGGTCTAAGGCAAGCTGCCGTCTTGAAACCTGTGTTGCAGGCGTGCACATGCACCTCTGAGGCAGAGATGTGATTGTTATGTGCATACAAGCCTGAGTCGGCTCGTGCAAGCTGGTTGCCGGGTGCACTTGCCTGATCAGACACAGCATATCGGCTGCGCCACACATCACCGAGGGACTTTCATCTCATGGTTTCCTGTCTTGCATTCTGGCACTGCGTCCCTGTCTTTAGCGTTGCACTTGGAGAGCGCTTCTCTGGAAGGACATTCTCACGAATCTCTGCATGGCTCTACGGTCCGGAAGCCTGGGCTTCTCTCGATGCAGCGGCTGCATGAACCACAAGTTTGAGCTCGAGCTGACGAACTCAAAAAGCGTTTTCGAGTGTTAGCCTGTTTTTTAAGTCTGCAGGTGCCCCCTCACCGGTTTTACAGTTGTGAGTGTTTGGTGCTGTGCACTGACTGCTTCAACATGAGCACGAGACAGAGCCCACCGGGTTTGGGGCTGTCAGGTTTGTCGGGTCTAGACGGTCTAGGGGTTTGGTGCAGAGTCTAGGGTTTTAAGACTTTGAGTTGCAGGATGTTGGTGTTTCGACTTTGGCGTTTGGAGTTTCACGCTTTCAAGACTCTAAAGTGGAAGTGCGGGTTCCTTCTGTCCATCCTTTTTGCTTCCTCCCTTCCTGTCTTCCGCCCTTCCTTACTCCTCTATCCCAACTTCCGGGATCGAGGGCTGAATAGTAACAAACAACAACTTTACAGACAGGATTTCCACATTGACATGAACCCTTGGAACGGGCTAGGGACAGGAATTCTGCTCAAGCTCGCCTGGAGCAACGACTGTTTTAGACGGCATAGCGACTGGTAGTGGCTAGCCGCACGCACCAAGATCTGCCTGCATCCTAAGTGAGCCAAGACCGGAGGACCACTCATCATAACGGCATGCTTCAACGCAACCAAGACAGACAGCAGCTCTCACATAATTGGCCTTGTACAATGTGGGCAGGTTGGTGTGTATTTCTGCCTGAGCTGAGCGCAGCTGCTGTGTCAGCACGGGCAGCCATCCATGGCACTAGGCGGAGAGAGCGTCCAGCCTCTCGCTCTGACTTGTCACGCATGGCTGCAACCACGTTGGAGACCGGACCCAAAGTCCTGGCACGTGCTCCGGGTCTCACAGAATGCCAACAGCCACCGTCCAACTCCATAAACCACAGGAAGAATCTTTACTCAGGGAGGGGGAGGGACAGGGGGAGGGAGGACGTCTACGTCTCCAATTCTCCGACCTTGACTCTAGGTTAGCAGGCTTCACTGTCTGTTCTCTTCTTCCTGTACTCTCTCAACGAACTTGCTTGGCCCCTTGCGGGCTGGATTGCATGACATTCTTCGTGAAGCGCGGTGGCTCCAGGCACTGTGCATCCATCTCCTCACAAGGCTAGAACCGCGAAAACCCCGAAGATTGACCACACCAACGTGCTGGAGCATTTGCGACAGGGCTGCATTACCTAAAACTGACTAAAGACCTGCCAGCGAAAAGCCGCAAATCCTGAATACTTCAGGGCTTCTGTGAACGCCAAGAGCGGCCACCTTCATCACCCGCCGCTCAATCAGCGCCCCCGTGAGGCTGCCCACTATGGAGCCCACAATGACCCCAATGGCCTCGTCCAGTCAAGCAAGGACTGCTTGGACTTGGACCCAAGTGTCAGGTCAAGGACACGACCCAGTGGATCAGAAGGCTGGTCCCTAGCGCAGCCTCACAAGGTGGAGCACAAAAGCGTGCTAAGCGTCATAAAGCCTCACCCAATTCATTTAATTTATTCACAAGCACTCTGAGCACATCGCAGTCGTCCCTGCTGCCACACTCCATTTACCTTGGATTCTGGTGCAATGAGGGTGGCCAGGCCCAAGCCGAAAGGACACGGTGCCTGCTGGCTTCTCCAGCATCTTGTCCGTGGCCAAACCGTAAGCCAAACCTGCACAAAAGCTTCAACATCGCTGCGCTGCTAATGTGGTGATTCCCTAGGGCCGTCCTGGCCTAGGAGGTAGCCGAATCCCACTGACACGAGCAAGCCGATATCCGCTCCGAATTGGGTCGCCATGGGCTGCAGGGCACAGGTCATGACAGGAAATGCTGCCTGTGCCTTAGAGTGTTTACGACCTCGTATGCAACCATTGCACCGAAGACCCCAGCGATAACGCCGAAGGGACCGGACCTGAGGAGCACTGCAGTGCCGGACAAAACGAAAACTGGCACCGCTATGGCACATGTGGCACCACTCGCCGGGCATCGCAAGGCGTCGCAAGGCCCCCGCATGACACGTGCGGTGGAAACCAAGGGCCAGATCTGAGCTCACGAGACGCCCAACACCGCAGACTTCACGCTTCACACCATCAGTGTCTTCAGTCACCGACGCTACTTTCAGACTCGGCACCTCAAGCTGTCGAGATCTTTCGAGAGAAGGCTGGTGCCTCCGAAGATCTGGGCCCTCCACCGTCTGCTTCCGGAGGAGTCTTCCTGAAGGCAAGGTTGGTGCCCGGCACCAGAACCAGAGCCTCAGCGACGTGGCAGTTGCAGGTCGAAGGTCGAAGGATTCGGGACTGGGTCTTCAGGCCAGCATGGACATTGCAAGGTAGAAATTCGTCTCAGCCAGTCTCCAGGTAAAAACCCTGGCATGTTGAAGCTCTTGGAGCACACTCGTGCTGCCCCATCTTCCCTCCTGCCTGGCAAGTCCTACCGCCGACATCGCTGCAAAGCAAACCTTCGGCACAGGAGCAGTGCACAAGACTGCCCCACTCACCTTCACCATCCTTCGAGAGGAGGGTAGGAACTAGAACAGGACAGTAGACGTAACAGAAGAGAGAAGATAGCTGCGGTGCCAGTCCTCGCGCGCAGCTGTGTTTGGCCGTGCTCTCCCGCAAGCCCAGCAGAGGCTTCGTCGCATGAAAAGAACTTGATCAACGAAAAGTAGAGAACTCAACGGAAAGACGTGCCCAAACGTCTTACCGCAAATTCCCTGCTGCAGAATCTGGCCAAAATTCAAACCCCCCGCCCCCACATGTCAGACATTTCGATAACACTAGAAGCAAAGTAAAATGACTCCGATGTGCATAGCGAGAGTAGCTTGGGGAGGACTCGAGAATTGCAGAAAACACCATGTGGGCACGACATAGATCAAGCAAGTCTGCTGCATCCACATCATCAGTAAGAAGTCTGGCGGCCACCCTCAACTGTCGCGCATTGCAGGTGGTATGGATTCCATGCATGGAAGTTTCTTTTACCGAGCACGAGGAAACGACCAACGGACGAAAACGCAGCATGCAAAGCATGCAGCTCGACACTGTCAAGTGCAGATCTGCCTTGATGATGCCCCCAGAGAGCTCGCAATTCGCACCTGAAAGAAGCTACATTGGCTCGATTTCTTGTCCAGCACAGAGAGAGTCACTGCAGGCGTTTCAATTGCAACCACCCCTACAAAAGAATCACAGCACAGCTCCTATATCGAGGCCCTGCACAGGGATCTCTGGAGCCACTGTTTGCTTCGGAATCTGGACGGGAAATCGAGAGCATCTGTAAGCCACCGACAAAGCTCCAGGGCATAGGACGACAGGGCAATCAAGACCTGAAGACGCTGCAACGTTGAAAGTCCGAAAGCCCTCGTGTCCTCAGTCAGGCCCTGGCTGCCAGTGAGGCACCGACCAACCATCCCAGGAAAGCGCACTGCACAGAGAGGCGACAGCTTCAGGGTCGAGAGCAGACCATATCATTATGAGCTGTAGCGGTAGCGTCCCTTCAATGTTTCGGGCTGTTCGGAAGCTTGTGCCTTAGTGTTACAGATCCAACATTCGCAACAAAAGCTTGCAGAGTCTGTTACACATCCAGTGTGCCAAGAGCGATTGTGAGATCGTCTGAAGCTGATTGCACGCCCGCCGGAGCAAAGCGGGTGCATCGGCTCCTGAGGTCACAATATGAGCTGCAACACTAAGACCATGGCCAAGCCAAGCGTGAAGTCCACACCAGGTTCCTCGCAAAGCATCTCGCAACCAAAAGCGAAAGACATGATGCGCGGTGACGCTGACCTGGTAGAGAAAGAGGGCGAAGGCAAAGCCGGAAGACACGCCATGGAGCACCCTCGGGATGTCTGAAACGAGCGATACCATTCTCAGTCCCACAGGGTTTGGCATCGACCATAGTGCTCAACATTGAGATCGAAGCTGCCCCACAACTGGGGAGAGCCGGTACGGCTGGACTGCTGCCTGACTCCCACGATGCTTCTAGTGCATACTTCGTCTGGATCGGCGAGTTGGTGCCTTCGCCGCCTTCTTTGCGGCGACACCAGACTCGGTCAATGCATCTCTGCACCACTCTTACGTGTTCCCGACTCTCCCAAGTATTGAAACTCTACCACCGCCCTGATGGTACAATCTGAGAAGAGACTATCTGAAGTCACCACGATATATGCCTGCTATCTGCTTAATTACCTGTCATCATGCACGGAAAACCCCTCAGGACGGATGATACATCATGACGAGCTCTAAGTCCCTCAGGACGGATGATACATCATGACGAGCTCTAAGTCCATCAAAAGGGGGAGCATGAAATGTCATGAAATGTACTCGTCCATCACGGACTTTGAGTTCCCGTGCTGCCGCCACCAAAGCAGCCACAATGGCCACGCCTCAGGACGAACGTGCTCCGAACAAAATCTGGTGGTGCCGCCACTGTAGACTCAAGCCTGCACAGCCTTAACAGCTCCTGCAGATACGTTTCAGCACGTGTTCGATGCATCATTAAACGGAGATCCGAGGCCCTGGCACACGATGGGCAAAAACACTTCGCACATCGCCTTCCCGCTCAAGTGCAGGCTAGAAAGGTAGGTTTGCGCTTGGTAGGTCGGGCTAGTGGCCAGTGCACACCACGAGCCCCTAAACTACCACTAAAAGCTGTGTGCACTTGTGCACTCTGGCCACTGCTTGTACCCGTTTCAGACCCGTTTCAGGTTCGGCTGTGGAGCTGGCAGCCGCAGCAACATGCAGCAACGGTCAAGAAACCACTCGCCCGCTCTCCCCTATATTGTGAACACAGGTTTGATCGAGTGCGAGTGTTCGTTCGGGCCGGATGGCCCGCTACCTCGAACTGGGGTTTACGGGTGGTTAGCGGCTAGAATGCTTCAGACATCGGCGATATCATCACACATGCCAAAACACCATGCACGCGTGCGCCAAATGTTGCGAAACACCAGCGAGCCCAGCCGGAATCGAGCCTTGGAGAATGCTACGTACGTGAGGATCTGAAACATCTCCACTCCAAGCTCCACGACCTTTTTTCATGGCTGCACGTAGCACAACTTGGTGGAGCAAGTGCGGCCGTTATTGTACTTCGCTGCTGCGATCTTGCGAGAACTACTTAGATACCTATGACTAAGTCCCGGACATTTTCCTGGGTCATCACTGCTGTAAAGTATACCATTGTCACATACCTTGCCAGGGGTGGATGTGAGACAGCTGTCCCAGGAACAACAAAGGCAACCAAGGCAGGTAGGAACGGTAGGAAGCAGTCCATGAATGCTCCCTTCAGACATCTTCAGACCAGCCGATCTCATTTGCATTCCAAGATACATTGTCACAGAAAAGACCCGCATCAAGATGGGCAGGCCCAGATCCTACAGCAGGTGACAACGGGCATAAGACGTAAGACCATGCAGGAGCCGAGCAAGGCCTTGAGCATTGCCATCTGCAGTTGGACTCGATACTTCGTCGCCTGCTGTCGTTGCCGTTGTGCGGGCATAGCCTCTACGCCTCTATGCCTGCCGACTCGAGAGGTGAGCCTGCCCGGCCGTCATCTTCCTGCCCTGCATGGACTTCACTTTGTCCACGTGAGGCTTCGCTCTCAAGCACCTCTCCGGCAAGACTCTGCAAGATGACATTTTGATGTCTTGTCCTGTCCCCCAGTCTGGGCTCCAGACTTGAGCTCAGTACCCCAATAGACGAGTGGTGGGTTGTTGAATCTCTCAACCGCCTGCCCGAACATCGACATCGAATCTCGGGGTTTGTCCTGCATGCTACCTGTATGCTTAAAGGTATCACGTGTATCCTTGTTCTTTAGAGTTGTCTCCTTCAACTGAGATTTCGGCTAGGCCTTTCCGATGACAGCACCGAAGGGAAAGATCTGGTATGCCAAGCTCAACTGTCTCCCTGGCAGTCAGAATGCAAAGTTTCGGCCCATGTAGAACAGCCCTGCAAGCAAGAATCTCAAAGAGCTGCGATGCAAAATCTGCATCAGACGTGGCATCTCAACCGCAATTCAGTTTGAGTTTCAACACAAAAACTGGCCTGACGCCTTCATCAGCTCGAGGTACGGAACGTGAGGCTTTCCGCAGTGTTCACCTGGGCCACATGTTACCACGCAGGCGAGTTTGGCAGCTCTTTGTCGTGGTTTGTCGCCGCCACGGCTGTCATTGCACATCATGTAAGTCTGCAGCAGAACTGTGGAACTCGCAGCTCCTGCTGTGCAATCAATCCAAAGGTTCCAGGATGCACTCATCAAAGCTCCTCAGCGTAAAGCTCGGCACGCTCCTTCAAAAGATAGCCCTGGCAGAGCACTGTTTCCTTCAGGCTTCTCGCAGACGATCAGCCCATGACCCACGGCCTGCCTTGACATTCCAGCCATCAATCCAGATGCCGAAAGTTGTGGGCAGCATGCTGAAGACTGGCATGGGTGTTGCATGCTGATCATTAACGAGATCGACTGGCTTGCCGGAAATCAAGTCTAGAGTTTCAGCGAGGGGCAATGCGATGTGCGAAGGATGCCGCCACCACCACTGGCCCTGGCATTGAAGCTTGCGTGGCTACAACACCGAAATGACATCTTGGGGTTCGGGAGTTCTCAGAACTGAGACAGTCGTCAGTACCAAAACCAAGAATGGCGCACTGGGCGTCAGGATCCAGTTTTGTCAGTTTCATATCGATCTGCTTGCCTCAAGAGCAAACTCGAAGCATCAAGCCAGCGCTGAGCGAAACAACGGAAGTGGCTCTCAGACTCCAGCTGAAGTCTCTCAGAATGTACTCTTGCCCCATGAAGTGCCTGTTATGTGGCAGTCTCGACTTTTGTATATGTGAGACGATGTAAAATTTCCACGGGGGCTCACCCATTGGCGCACAGGAAGGAAATGATCAAGGTAATCAAGGCCTGCCATGCGGAGCAAAGGCAAAGCACACTGTGCCGAGCTCCTCTCGTCACAGACATGCCGCGGTGCGCCATGACGCCAAGGAAAATGCGGCCCGTTATGACAGAGATGTGGTCGTCCTTAACATTATTGCAGCTTTCTACATCAAAAGAATTCGAAAGACCTAGCTTCCCGAGTCTCCGACAGGATATGGGCACGTCCAACCAGTGCTTTCCTGGTGACAGAGCAACACTCTCATCGCGTCACTACTACCGACTTACCCTGCAGAATCCCAAGCTACGGAAGTAGTTCAATTCGGGTGCCAGAAAAGACAGGTGCTTGGTGTGAAAAGGTCGCTCCCAAATAAATCTGCAAACGGGGCCTTGAAGGGATCGATCTCTACCAAATTCAGAGAGCGTGTGCAGATCAGCATCAAACCTGAGCAGGCAAGTCACCGCGTGAGTTTGCCATCGGATTCACATATCTAACGTTCTTCCCAGCTCGTTTCAGAATTTGTCGAAAGTGCTGGGATTTGCACAGCACGAAGACTCGGGGACCCCACACTGCATGCCGATGAAGATTCCACTCTGCAACTGCCCGGACAGCACTGCTGATTTGAGCAGAGACCAAACAAAAAAACATGCAAGACTGACATCTCCCTAGGCTGGACAGCATGCAATTCACCAGAATACACGTTCCTGCAAGTTCACAGACAAACGAACTTCTTTATGCTGAATTGCTCTACCCGTGTTTCTGCTTCAATCACAACGTAAGCAGGTCGGAGGGACACCCGTAGTCAAGCCAACAGCCTCACTAGCAATGAAGCCCGCACACAGCAATCTACCCGACACATCTCGACAATCATGCAAGACGTGCCAGCTTGTGCAGAGTTCCTGGCCATACTTTTCTGGAAGGTTGGACGCGTTTTCTGGGCACTGTACTTGGCAGCCTGCACGTAAGAGCCCTGCTGAATGATGGCATAGCACTGCACGCTGAGCCGCTTGCAGTGAGAAGGCCGAAGTAATCGTAATTGAGCCATCGCACCCTGGAAGCTGCAATGCTGCAAGGCTGTCGGATTGGGTAGAAAGTGGACAGGACCAGCACAAACTATCAGAGGACGGAGCATCAAGAGCGTGATGACCTTGCAGGAATGCTAAAGCACCGGAACAGACTTCGGGTTGCTGGGGCCCGCGCGATCAAAAAGCAAGCAGACAGTATGACAACAGGTCCTGCAGGCGATCCATAGCTCTCGTGTGCCCCTCCATAACATCGCCGGGATGCCGTGTGTCGACGAAGGAATCAGAGAGACGGCCACGCACCCGCCCCAGCTCCCGGCCGCCCCTTCGCAGCCCCTTCACACCTGCACACCTGCGGCTAAGACCTTTTCACGCACAGCTAATGATGTATACATTCCAAACGAGCCTTCCGGCCTACCAAGCGCTATCTCGGCTCAGCCCAGGCTTCAGCACTAGTGGTGGCTCTGTACACGCTCGCAAGTATGCCCTTGGCAAGATTAGAATGATTTAGAATGCCTAAGGTTGTCCCGACATGCACATCTGATGCATATGCCTCTCTCGCTCAGAGCCTGCGGTCTGATCGCTTACACCAGCTTACACCAGCCAGTTCAACTCTTCGGGCTGAGGCCGAGAACCCCATGTCATTGCACACAGAGCGCCCTTCGCGGCGACCGGATGCAAACCCCTCTAGTCCTTCACAGCGCGGGGCGCCCACAAACATGGTGCTGATGACCGCTGTAAAGAATCGAGTGGCCACCCTCCAAGAAGTCTCTACTGCAAGGATGACAAAGGTTCACCCAGGCTTTCAAGAGCAAGACAGCTGGGGCATCCGCGAAGCAAGATCAACAAGGAATTGTACCCTTAGCAGATGTTCTTCGAAATCACGGGGAGGAGACGCTGCGATTGACGATCTTCAAGTCGTCTTGAGTGCATAGCAAACCCTGAACATCGACGTTTGGAGGACTTGGAACCTGAGTCGGCAAACTCCAGAGGCTGCTTGGTATTTACCTTTGGCAAATCAAATGTCGGCCAGGTGCAAGGATGATAATGTCGAAAGCTTCGAGCCGTAAATCCACGGCCTGCGATGGAGTGAGGGGAGCATAAGACGTGAGCATGCGCGCCAAACCCCTGCTCTGAGACATCCGCGCCAATGCTGACAAAAGCAAACCTGCACCCAACGCTTGAGGATTTCACTGCTTGCACACGAGACAAGCGTCAGGACAGACTGCTACGACGACGACGGCGACTAC